ACTTTCGAGTTTGTAATCGCAATGTTCTGGCTCATAATCCATAATTTGTGCAATTTTCAACTCATTTTTTCATATCCTCACTTAACTACTGTTTTACTTGTCTTGGAGTCTTTGTGTAGAAGGCGGATGGCATGATGAAAAGATTTTATCGTTCGTTCTTCAGGGATTGATGGTAACGGCGGAGGTTTCAAATCTTCCCTTTCGATTTTGTAATCATAATACCGTGCCTCAAAATCCATAAGAAGTTCTTCCATTTTCGTCTATCAGACTGCGTTAGTCGACTGATTCAGAGTTCGTGACAGGCTTTTATTGCTGTAAAGGCATTCACGTCAAGGTATTTTGAGCTTTTATGCAGTCTGCGAAAGACATGTGTAGGAGAGACTTACTGCAGCAGCTTACTCGAAGTTGGTAATTCGGCTTTCATTGATTAGCATCTGAAGTACAGATCAGTAGAAAAGAAAATTTCATAGAATACGTAAATTTCATAACATTACACGCATGCAAGAGTACAGAAAACCAATAAGAGACACCGAACAGGTGTTGGGTTATGCAGGATAGTAAGGAAAGCGGTTTGTAGAAAATTTGAGGAAAATCTCGGTACGGGTTAACGTGTAAACTTCCTGAGAAAAATCGATGAAAAACTAATTAAACGGTATAAAACATGCTTTATTTATACATAACGCAAACATTATCGTCATTCGAGTGATTACCCATGTAATATCGACGTTTCTCGCGTGATTTCTTGAACGTAGAGTGTTGGGTTGATGCTGGAAGCTGCTTCTGTTGTTTTCAGCTGTTCCAACGTTTTGTGCCCAAAGGCCGTCATTGACTAATTTTTTTTATCTTGAAGAAAGTCAGTGAAATGCGGTCAGAAGTTTTTGACCACATTGCTTGCATTGTTAAGCCTCGTTTCATGCTGCTCTCGATTTGACCACCCACGCACCAGTGAAATACTCGATTTTGGAGAATTTAGGAGGATGCTAGTGAATTCGACCGTGTAACCAAAGTTAGAATACTTCCAAAAATCTAATTTCATTTCTGGAACGCCGGAAGATGGATCACCACCTGATTATTTGCTTTGATGCCGGTTGGACAAGGACTTTAGTATCCAAAAGATGGTCGTTCATCTTACAGACCGATTTTAAGAATCCCAGTTTGAACGAAACGGCAATCATTTGGTAGTGGTGTCAAAACTCAAGGAAAATTAGAGGCACTAGTTTATCATGTTGCTGCTTCTCATCAGCATTGATTCCAGTTCCAGTTGGCAACTGCTCCTTTTTTGGGTACTATGCTCTGTGCTGAAGTTCACAATGAATCGG